ATTAGGGCAATAGGGCATTGCAAATTAAAACGAGATACCACTACACATCTATCAGAATGGCTAAAATACAAAGCACTGACAACACCAAATAATGATGAGGATGTGAAGCGATGGAAACTCTCACTTACTGCTGGTGTGATGAAAATGATGAAGCTACTTTAGAAGGCAGTTTAGTAGTGTCTTATAAAACTAAACATATTCTTTCCATATGATCCAATAATCATGCTCCTTAGTATTTGGCCAAATGAGTTGAAATCATATGTACACAAAAACCTTCATGAGAATGTTCAAGGCAACTTTATTCATGATTTCCAAGGCTTGAAAGAAACAAAGATGTCCTTCAATGGGTAAATGGACAAACAAATTGGTACATCTGTACAATAGAATATTATCAGTGATAAGAAGAAATGAGCTATCAAGCTATGAAAAGATACAAAGGAACCTTAAATGTATATTGCTAAGTGAAATAAACCAATATGTAAAAGCCTTCATACTGCATAAATCCAACTATATGACAACGTGGAAAAAGAAAAGCTACAGAGACAATAAAAAGATCCGTGATAATCAGGAGTTTATGGGGAGAGAGGGAGGAAAGAATGCATGAATAGGTAGAGCACAGGAAATTTGTAGGGCAGGAAAGCTCTTCTGTATGTTACTATAATACAATGATGGTTACATGTCAATATACATTTATTAAAACCCATAAAAGGTACACACAAAAAGTGAACCTTAACTATGGACTTTAGTTAATAATTATGTATCAATACTGGCTCAGTTGTAACCAAAGTACCACACTGATGCAAGATGCTAATAACAGGAAACTGGGTTGTGGGTGAAGGGAATATAAGAAAACAATCTGCACTTTCCTCTCAATTTTTTTGGGCAAGTCTAAAACTGCTCCAAAAAATAAATTCTACTATATATAATAAAAAAATAAGATATATATATATATATTCCATATAGATTCTCTTTCCGTTCTATTGTTACATAGCAGGAAAATGAACCACTATAAAGTATTCCCATCCATATACCCAACATTCATTTCTATAAATTAGTGTGGTTGAGCTGCATGATTTATTTAGATTGTTATAATGATTAACAGAAAACTGTTGTTTGTATCATCATAAAGTACCAAGAGTTGTATTAAATCTTTAAATAAAACTTCATTTTATTTGATCTTTTCAACAAATTTCTGAGGTAGGTGTTATTATCTCCATATTACAGTTGAGGAAACAGAAACTTGCTCAAGCCTCAAAGATGGAAGCTCCAAAGCTAAACTCAGGCCTATGAAATTAACCCCCCTACCCCCACCTTTAGCTTTTGTTTTGAAACAGAGTTTCACTCTTTTTGCCAGGCTGGAGTGCCCAGGCTGGCGTGCAATGGCGTGATCTCAGTCCACTGCATTCTCTGTCTCCTGGGCATAAGCAATTCTCGTGCCTCAGCCTCTCAAGTAGCTGAGACTACAGGCTCCCACCACCAAGCCCAGCTAATTTTTTGTATTTTTAGTAGAGTCGGGGTTTCACCATGTTAGCCAGGCTGGTCTCAAACTCCTGACCTCAGGTGATCCACCCATGTCGGCCTCCCAAAGTACAGGTGTGAGCCACCACACCTGGCCCACTCTCTCAAAGAAAAGCCAAATGATTCCTTTTCCTTATCACCTGAAACACACCATGTTTGGGGTTAGTACAGGTGTGTCCTTTCGACATGATACCAATTTGAGTGGACAGATAGTCCTCTAGGTTTCTGGTATGTAATAGTGTTCTTCAGTTTCAAGATAGTGAAACTTTATCTTTTTAAAATTTCAGTGAACATCAAGAAAAAAATATGTGCCCATGCTCTTACTCCGCCATCTTTCCCTGAAACCTCTCTTTCAAATTAGGTCTGTTGGACTGATTTTATTTCCAGCATTATGTTGATTAGATTACTATTAGAGAAATAACATTGCTTCAACTGAAATACTATAAACAAAAATGAATAAGAAGACAAAATACTTTTTGATTAAATACACTCATGAGCTGGCCATAAAGTGAAGAATATTTAGGCCAAAAATTAAGTTAAAGTCATGTGCCAAGCAGGGTAAAATGAACACTAATTTTCTTAGACTTGTGGAGCTCAGGAGAGAAGATACAAAGCCCAGTCCTTAGCCACGGTGAAGAATCTAGTAGAATATGTGTAATGAAGCAGAGATAAATATATCACCCCAGGACTAAAGAACAGTTTCTTATAATAAGCTCTGGCCCTGAGTGGTAGGAGAAAAAATACTCTCCGTTGTGAATTTGTGATCATTGTTTGGCATATAAAAGGGTTTGAAGCCTGGGGTGACACTTTCTAGATGATGTGAAAAAATTTTAAACAAAACAATATTATTGAAAATATTTCTGGACTGAAATAATCCCCATATGCTTCACATCTTTATTGCTATAAGAAATAATAAACTATTTAAAATAAGAACATGACAATATATTATGGGAGTTATAAAATATGTAGTAGTAAAACAAGAAATTATAGCACAGAGGATGGAAGGGGAAAATGTAAGTATTTTCTTATAAGCGGTTTCCACTATGTGGGGAAAAGGTAGAATATAATTTGCAAGTGAATATTATAACATCATTTGAAAGTAGACTGTAAAAGTTAAAAATGCATATTGTAAATAAACTAAAAAAAAACTCAAAAGAACTTAAAAAAGTATATTTTATAATTTAATGTTGGAGAGAAAATGTAATTCTAGTAATATACAGTTAACCTAATTCTAGTAATATCCAAAAAGGATGAAAAAGGGAGAAAGTGTAACTAAAAGAAAATGTATAGCAATAAGGTAGGCTTAAACTCATCCTTACTGGTAAATAAATTATTGTGGATGGTCTAAAAGCTACAGAGAAGAGGCAGAGATTACATTTTATAAGAAAACAAGATTAGACTATATACCATCTACAAAACAAACCCTTTAAATATAAAAACACAGATAACTATGTAAATAGAAAAAGATACAGGTAAACAATAAACCTAAGAATGCTAACACAGCTATTTAAATAACAGTAAAAGTACACTTTAAAATAAGGTATATGACCAGGAATAAAGATAGATATTTCTTAATGATAGAAGGGTCATTTCATCAAGAAAACCTAACAAGCCTACATGTATAAGCACCTAATAACAGAATTTAAAAATATGTGAAGCAGTGGTCTAGCCCATGAGGATCTTGGAAGTTGCCAATTCATCCTGACAACAAGTAAAAAGCAGAACAATCTGAAAAATCAACAACTTTTTTTAGTACCATCAGAGAAGCGAGGCCACAGGATAAACTGATGTCTCCCCAATATTGGAGACAGAGAGAGACAGATACAGAGAATCACAACTACCAGAGCAGAAACTCACAAGCAAAAGCCTCTGTGGGAACCAGCACTGGATTAGGAAAATCTGAACTGTAAGAGAACAGCTGGAGTCTGTGGCTGAGGATGACCAATGAAACTTCCAGGGGAACCAGGCCATGAAGGTAGGGGTGGGACCCACACTTCTGTGGATTTTATCTCCAGCACAAGTCTCACCAAGTCTCACAGCAAAGATCAGAGCAAGAGTCCACTTGGGCTCTGGAAGTGGCAAGGGAAAAGTAACCACTCTGAAATACAACAGAGCATTATATTTGTTATACCTAACAAGACCAGCCCTCAGAGAGACTATTTTACCAGAGCCTAACCTTTTTGGGGGTTTCTTACACTCTAATACCTGGAGAAGGGAAAATATGCATATCCATCCTTTCTTTTTTTTCTAATTTTATTTTTATTTTTTATTGTATTTTAGGTTCTGGGGTACATGTGCAGATCATGCAGGATTGTAGCATAGGTACATACATGGCAATGTAGTTTGCTGCCTCCATCCCCCGTCACCTATAACACATTTCTCCCTATGTTATCCCTCCCAACCTCCCCCAGTGCTGTCCCTCCCCTATCCCCAACAACAATAGACACCAGGGTGTTACGCTCCCTCCCTGTGCCCATGTGTTCTCATTTGTTCAACACCTGCCTATGAGTGAGAACATTCAGTGTTCTTCTGTTCTTGTGCCATTTTGCAGAGAATGCTGGTTTCCAGATTCATTCATGTCCCTACAAAGGACATGAACTCATCCTTTTTTATGGCTGCATAGTATTCCATGGTGTATATGTGCCACATTTTCCTTCTCCAGTCTATCATCGATCGGCATTTGAGTTGGTTCCAGGTCTTTGCTATTGTAAACAGTGCTGCAATAAACATACAGGTACATGTGTCTTTATAACAGATCAATTTATAATCCTTTGGCTATATACCCAGTAATGACATTGCTGGGTCAAATGGGATTTCTATTTCTAGGCCCTTGAGGAATTGCCACACTGTTGTCCACAATGGTTGAACTAATTTACAACCCCACCAACAGTGTAAAAGTGTTCCTATTTCTCCAAATCCTCTCCAGCATCTGTTGTCTCCAATTTTTTTTTTTAAGGAAGATGCCAGTTTTATTTAAACACAAAACGTGCACATAAGCTGTCTACTCATTTTCTTTGCTGTGCAGCCTGGCACTGGGGTTGGTGACTCTGATGGCCAGCTGGGCAGCTCTTTCCACAATGGCTTTGCGGTTCTTGGAGGAAACATTGTGAGCGATCTCAGCACAGTAAGATTTGTTGCACATCGGCAGCACTTCCATCTCCTTGACATGTAGACCAGGAACTTCCAGAAGCCACTGGGCAGCATGTGCTTTGTTTTCTTATTGCTCCCATAACCAGTGTTAGGCATTAAGATCTGGCCCTTGAACCTTCTACAAACCCTGTTGTCAATACCTCTGGGTTTCTGCCAGTTACGCTTAATTTTGACATATCGGTCTGACTGGTGCTGGATGAACTTCTTGGTTCTCTTTTTGACGATCTTGGGTTTCACAAGGGGTCTAAGGGCGGCCATGATGCCGTTTGGGAAAGAAGCAGCCCCAGGTGAAGAAGAATCCTGGAAGGAGGTTTTCCCGCCCTGGGACTGAACACTGTTGCAGAGTATCTTCCAGTCACCAGCGATGGAGCAAGCTGGGAATGGAATGGGTGCCTCTGCCAGGCTTGCTTTCCCTCCTTTTCTGAAGCTGGCAGAATACTAGGCATTCTCCAGACGCGATCCCAGGAAGTCATGTCTCCAAATTTTTTAATGATCACCATTCTAACTGGTGTGAGATGGTATCTCAATGTGGTTTTGATTTGCATTTCTCTAATGACCAGTGATGATGAGCTTGTTTTCCTATGTTTGCTGGCCTCATAAAAGTCTTTTGAAAAGTGTCTGTTCATGTCCTTCACCCACTTTTGAATGGGTTTGTTTGTTTGTTTCTTGTAAATCTGTTTTAGTTCTTTGTAGATTCTGGATATTAACCCTTTGTCAGATGGGTAGATTGCAAAAATTTTTTTCCATTCTGTTGGTTGCTGGTTCACTCTAATGATTGTTTCTTTTGCTGTACAGAAGCTCTGGAGTTTAATTAGATCCCATTTGTCTATTTTGGTTTTTGTTGCCAATGCTACCCTTTCTAATCATCCTTTACCATCTAAGAGGGGGAAAACAACAACAACAACCAGAAGAACCATTTGTGCAGTTTACAACCCATAGACACAGGGTTACTAAAAGACTGAGATCTACTCATAAGACTACAGAAGGCTTCCTGCCCACCCCACTCCACCTCTCCACCTTATCACTCTATCACTAAAGGTCTATTTGCAGCAATTTATTTCATACAGTACATCATATCTGCCTTCCAACAAAAAATTACAAGAAATACTAAAAGGCAAAATACAAAGTTTGAAGTGACAGAACAAGCATGAGAATCAGACCTAGATATGGCAGGGATATTAGAATGATCAGTTATAAGATTAATCAACTATAGTTAATGCATTCAAGGATCTAATGGACAACGTAGACAATATGCAAGAACAGATGAATACTGTAAGCAGAGAGATGGAAATTCTAAGAAAAAAAAACAAACAAAAAGAAATGTTAGAGATTAAAAACACTGTATTGAATGCCTTTGATGGGCTCATTAGCAGCTTAGACATGGCTAGAGAAAGCATCTGTGAACTTGAGGGTATGTTAATAGAAACTTCCAAAATGAAAAAGCAATGAGAAAGAAAAAAGACTCAAAAATAAAATAACAGGATATCTCAAAACTGTGGGACAACTACTAAAGGTGTAACATATGTGTAATGGGATTATCAGCAGAATAAGAAGAGAAAGGAACAAAAGCAATATTTGAAGGAATAATGACTGAAAATTACTACCAATCATAGATCCAGGAATCTCAGAAATTACCAAGCAGGAAAAATGTCAAAAAAAAAAAAAAGAAAGAAAGAAAGAAAAGAAGAAGAAGAAGAAGAAAATGGAGTGAAATTTTTAGAGGGGGAAAAAAAAACCAAACAAATAAACGTGGACTTCTGCACCCTTTAAAATTATCCTTCCAAAGTGAAGAAGAAATAAAGGTTTTCTCAGGCAAACAAAGGCTGAAGAACTTTGTTTGCCTTATAAGAAATGTTAAGAGAAGTTCTTCAGAGAGAAAGAAAATAAGTCAGAAAGTTGGATCTACATAAAGAAGACTGTCAGAGAAGAAATCAGTGAAGGTAAACAACTTTTATTTGTCTTATTCTTAATTGATGTAACAGATAATAATTTGCCTTAAATGGTAATCACAAAAATATTTCCAATTACATATTTCTGTTTGTATGTGTATGTGTATATACATACACACCTATATGCCTACGGATATTTGAAATGAATGACATCGATAATACAATTGACAGTAGAAATTAGGAATATTTATTATTATAAAGTATGTATACTACTTGTGAAGTGTTTGAAAATTGACTTCTGTTAGTTGCAAATATAAAAAAGAAAGTATAAGTAATATGTCTTTCTGGAAAAGCCAAAATTATGGAGGAAGTAAAAAGATAGAGGTTGTCAGGGGTTAAAGGAAAGGAGGAACAAATTGGCAGAACATAGAGTGTTTTAAGGGCAGTGAAACTATTTTTTATAATACTGTAATGGTGGAAACATACCATTATATATTTGTGAAACCCCAAAGAATGTACACCAAGAGTGAACCCTAATGTAAACGATGGACTTTGGGTGATAATGGTGTGTCAGTGTAGTGGCCATGGTAACAAACAAATCATGCTGGTTCTGGATGTTGATCCTGAGGGAGCTATGGGTTTGTCAGGGTAGGAGGCTGTACTTTCCACTCAATTCTAACATGAAGCTAAAAAGCCATACACACACATGCATACACATAAAATTGGCAAAAGTAAAATGGAAAACTGAAAAATCAAAACTTACAGTTCAAGATTTCAAAACTTTTCTGTCAGTAAGTGGCAGAACAAGTAGAAGATCACTAAGGACATAGGTGACATAATGAACAATTTGAACCAATTTAACTGGCATAAATGGAGCATGGCACCCAACAATAGCAAGTGCATATGGATCATTCACCATTACAAACAATATGTCAGGGAATAAAACAAGTTACAGTGGATTTGAAGCACATTAAATTCATTGAGTGTGCTCTGACCAGAAATGAATTAAATTATAAATCAACAATAGAAAAATAGGCAGGAAAAATCACACACATTTGAAAATGTAATAGCATACTAGTAAACAATGAGTGAGTCATAAAAGAAATCAGGAAAGACTTGAGGAAACATTTCTGATTAAATTAATGTGAAAACATGACAAATCAAAATCTGGGGACGGATGCATCTAAAGCCATGCTTAAAGGAAAATTCATTTGAGTGTACACAAAAAGTAAGGGTCAAATCAATAATCTTGGCTTCCATCTTAAGAGGTTATAGAAAAAAAATCAAATTAAACACACAGTAAATAGAAAGAAAGAAAATAATTGAGATAAAAGTAGAAATAAACTATTTAAAAAAACCAAAAAGACCCCAAACAATAAAGAAAATTAATGAAACCAAAAGCTGAGTTTTTGGGGGAATCGATAAAGTGATAATCCTCTCGCTAGACTGAATGAGAAAATAGGAAGACTCAAATTACTAATTGTTTAGTCATTTCAGGCTGCCATAACAGAAGAATCACAGACTGGATGGCTTAAACAACAGGAATTTATTTTTCACAGCTCTGGAGTCTGGGAAGTTAAAGATCAAGGTGACAGCTTATTTGGTTGTCTGGTGAAGGCTCTCTTCTTGCCTTGCAGATGGCCATTTTTCTCACTGTGTCCTCACATAGCAGAGAGAGAGAGAGAGAGAGAGAGAGAGAGAGAGAGAGATCTGGTGTCTCTCCTTATTAGAGCACTAAGCTGGTTATGAGGTATCCACCTTCATGGCATCACCCAAACCTAAATATCCCCCAAAACATCTACCTCCAAATATTATCACATTTGGGATTAATGCTTCAATATATACATTTTGGGAGGACACAATTTAGTCCATAACTTAAAAATTCAAAATGAAAGAGAGATAATCATTACAGAAACTACAAGCCTTAAAAGAATATTATGAGTAACTTTTTGTTGGTATATCAGGTAATGTAGATAAGATGCACAAATTTCTTGAATGATGCAAATTGCCAAATCTGATTAATGAGAAAATAGAAACCTGAATAATGCTACATTAAATGAATTTGAATTTGTAATTAAAAACTTTCCCATTAAGAAAATTGCAAGCCCAGATGACTTGACTCATGAACCATATCAATCATTTAATCCTACGTAAACTCTTAAAAAGTAGAAAAAGAAAGAATATTATCTGTTCATTTTATTATGTCAATGGATTAAGTATCTGATGCTCATAAAAACAGAAACAAAAGTCTCTTGTAAGACTATAAGCAAGATCTTTGGCTAGATCAGCAGGCATCCCAGGACTCAACTCAGAGCTGATTTGCCTCTAAATTCACTTACATAGGTATCATGAGTCTCAGAAGATGTGATGTGCTTCCAAACTCACTGATAATCTAGACTCAGAGATATTGTCCCTCCAATGCAAGCTATATGAGATGAAGGAGGGATCACCCCTGATGGAAACCACAGTCTTTTTATGATCAGATCTCAGAAGTGACATCCTAGCATTTCTGCCTTATTCTATTTTTTTTAGAAGCAATGACTAAATCTAACTTACACTTAATTGGAGGAGATTGAATAAGGGAATGAATAATAGGAGGTAGAGTTTATTGGGACCATTTTAGACCTTACCCACTGCAGTCAGCATGACCCTGATACAAAAACAAAAGACATTAAAATTATAGTTTAATATCTCTCATGAGCTCCAAAGTCAAATGCAAAAATATATAAAAAGGGTAATACACCAGGGCCAGGTAGCATTTATCCCAGAAACAAGTGATTGGTTTGATATTTAAGAATTGATTAATGTAATTTGCTACATTAAAAAGATAAAGGAGAAAAACTGTATAATTGTTTTAATAGACAAGGTGAAAAACATTTAACAAAATATATCACTCATAAATAATAAAACCTCTTAGCAAATTGAGATAAAATCAAACTTCCTAAAACTAATAAAGAGCATCTACCAAAAAAAGTAGAGCTAACATCATATTTCATGGTGAAAGTCTCAATGATCTTCTGTAATTGAGAACAAAGATATGGGCTTATACCATTCCTTTGCTTTATTTTACTGGACATTCTATTTAGAGCAATAAGTAAAGAAACATAAATTAAAGGCATATCAAATTAAAAAGCAGTAAAACTCTATTCACCAAAGTCATCATCATGTATGTTGGAAATGTTAACACATCTATCAAAAAAAAAAACTACTTGCAAATGAATTAAACAAGATTGCAAGATACAAGATAATATTTAAAAATCAATATTGTCTATATATGAACCACAAATAATGAGATATCAAATTTAGAAAAAAAACTTAAAATGTTTATAGTAGCCTCAAGATATGTGAAATACTTGAGAATGAATTTTTAAAAATTTGTGCAAGACCTGCTGTACATTAAAGACTATCAAACACTGTTGAAATTAATAAAGAATTAAATAAATGTAGCAATATACTATGTTCATAAATAGAAAGACTCAAAATTGTCAATATGTCAGTTCTCTCCACATTTGTTTATAGTTTCAATTTGAGTTATAGATCAATTTCAGTCAAACTACCAGCAGGCTTTTTTTTATGTGTGGA